TCAAAGGAGGTTTTTCTGAGGAAATCACCACCAAATTGAGATCTGAAGAATTATGAAGTGTTAACTAGGTAAGGAGGAATAGGAGGGAATATTCAAGTAAAGGTAACGGCATGCATCCAAAGAAAGGCCATGTGGCAGAGGAAGCATGACAAGAGCAAGAAACTGAACAAGCTATAAGAAGCTGGAGGAGACTTGCGGGCTGGTCCATGCAGGACTTTGTTAGCCATTGTAAAGGGTTCTTTGGGAAGTAGATGAGGTTCTGTTTGTGAAGCAGTTTAGCATAGAGTCTAGAACGCAGTTCCATGGGTTAGCTGTTGTCGAAAGCAGATGAACAGAAAATTTATATGAGAAAATGCAGACTGAAAATAATCATGGAAAATTTTCAGTCAGGAATAAAATAAATAAAATTAATGTAGCAAAGTACCATTTCACACTGATTAAATTAGAAAAAATAAAACATACTATGATGCAGTATAGGTGCAGAGGTTAAGAGGTTTTAGAATCGAACAGACCAGAGCTTCAAATCTTGGCTTTGCCATTTCATAGGTAAAATGAAGATAGTACTTTTTTCTCTGGGTTGATGTAGTGATTAAGATCATATACAGTAAACCACTTAGATTGCCTAGCATATGGTAAGCAGTCAAAAAAATTTATCTATTATTATCATTGATAGTTATTAAGACTAGCAAGGTGGTAAAGATGATAAATTCAGATATTGCAAATTAGAAAAGTTCTTTTGGAAATACATTTGGCAATACTTAACCAATTAGATGCTAATACTCTTTGACCTAGTAATAACACTTTTGGAGATCTAGCCTCAGGAAATAATTCAAAAGAAGGGGGAAACCTCATGAACAAATATACTTATTGCAGTGTTATCAATAATCATGAAAAATTAGAAATAACCTAAATGCTCAAAAATAGAGAAATAATTAAATTATTTGGGTGCCTACTATATGTCAGGTATTTTGTATATTTATTCTATTATCTTCACAGCAGTTCTGCAAGGTGAATATTATTTGTTCCTACCTTTTAGTGACTTTGTTCAAGGTCACACAGCTAATAACGGGCAGAACCTAAATTCAGACTCAGATTTATATGACTCCAAAGTTGTTACAAGTACAGATGATAAAGCAAGAATACCTGAAGTCAAAACTCAGTTCTACCACTTACTAGCGGTGTGAACCTGAGCAAGTCAGTCAACCTCTCTGTGTCTTAATTTCCTCATTTATAAAATGGAAAGTACCTTCCTCAATGGATTAAATAAGTTGATATATAAAAGTGTTTAGAAAAGTTTCTATAAGGGGTATAGAAGTATTAGCTATCATTATGATTATTCTTTCATTATACCATGCTGCATCAAAAGCCATAAATATAAATTTTAATTAACATGGTAAATAATTTTGAAATAATGTTAAGTGAAAACATGAGAATAAAAAATTCTATCTATGCTATAATCACAATAATATAAAAGGCATTATATAAATGGACAAAAAGTAGAATTTTCACACCAAAAAAATTGCATATGTTGGGATGTTGGTACGATAGTGAATTTATTTTCTTTTAACTTGCAGTAATATAGTTTTATAAGAGTAACAACAGGTATTTTTTTAAAGTACCTTTAGGAAATTTTTGGGGCCAGCCCCGTGGCCGAGTGGTTAAGTTCGCACGCTCCACTTCGGCGGCCCAGGGTTTCACCAGTTTGGATCCTGGGTGAGGACATGGCCCATCAGACCATGCTGAGGCAGCATGCCACATGCCACAACTACAAGGACCCACAACTAAAATACGCAACTATGTACCAGGGGGGATTTGGGGAGAAAAATAAGAAAAAAAAAAAGGAAGAGTGGCAACAGTTGTTAGTTCAGGTGCCAATCTTTAAAACAAATTTTTTTTAAAAAAGAAATTTTTAATAGTGTGGTTGCATACTGTTGTTTCTGCTATATAGAAACTATACTAACTAGGGACTTACCCTCAGTCTAGACCCTTTAAGGGACTCAGTGTTATAGCAAGACACTATTACATAAAGCTTAATTTCACAGGCTCTGAAAGCACAGATCTGGGTTAAATTTCATGTCTATGGCTGAAAAGTTGGGTGAGCTTAGGCCAACTACTTTGCCTCTCAGAGCCTCAGTTTCCTCACCTGTAAGTCAGAGATCATAACTACCTCATAGGGTTTTTTTAATTGAATAGTATATAAGATAATGAATGTGATGCTTCCTTGACACCCCACCAAGACTATTGCGATTATAATCATTTAATAGAGTAATTAGTTCTTTAATGTCTGCCTCTCTAAAACATCCTCTAATGTCTTAGAAGATAATCTCCACCAAAGCATAGAGCATTGCATTGCATTGCCAGCCTCTAGCGCAATACTTTGCACATTCTAAGCAATAAATATTTGAATGAATGCATGAAAACCTTTTGAAGTTGGTAGCAGCAGTTCTAGCTATAGAAAAGTTATTGAATTTAGTCTTGGCACAGGGAAAAGACCTAAGCAGCACAATATTGGCTTTAGCTGTCATAGCAGGGCTGTGTGCTCTGCACAAAGAAACCTGGCCAAGGAGGAAGTTGGAACTGAAATCTAAGTCATGGATAGGGGGCAGGGTGCAGAGTGTCTACCTGGAAGAAGAGACAACTTTCAGTAATTCCCACAAAGCCACCCCCATTTAGGCTAGCGGTGGCTCAGTGTCACAGAATCAGTCCTCAAACCTCAGAAACATTAAATCCTGGGAGAATATATTAAAAAGCTTAGGTGGGATGTGGGACATGACCAGGTGGAAAGCCCTCCAATTTAATGGCAGTATTTACCTTGTCCAAGCAAGCAACCTAGCCCTGTTCACTCCTCCCCAATACCCCCAAAGCCACTCTCTCTCTGGTTTCTCAGCTGAACCTTTAGATGGGGCTGAGAGCAAGACTCTGTTTTTCCACTGGAGGACATGAGTCAGTGAACAGTGAGGTTCCACTTAATCACCACCCAAAAACAAGGTCCTTAAAATCAGGAGCTAGAAAAGTAAGGAAATGATTAATATAAAAGTCAGGATAGTGATTATTCCTTGGGCAGGGTAGGACGGTGGAGGGGCGGGTGATGAGGCGGGGTGGTGGGAATGGGGCTGAGGGACCTACAGGGGAGGAATATATAGAGGTCTTCTGGGGTCCATCAGTGTTCTATTCCTTGACCTGGGTGGTGATTGCTTTATACTTACGATATTTTATGTACTTTTCTAAATGTGTATTATATTTCACAATTTTGAACAGCTGAAAAAAATACAAACTGTAAAAAGTTTTTAAGCAGGGAAAAAATGACCAGATTTGTATTATTAAAAGATCACTTGGGTGTTGAACGGAAAATTGATTGAAGGTGGGGCAAAGCCAGAGGCAGAGAAACAGGAGGTTATGTGGCTGCCATAATTTGGTGAGAGATTATAATGACTGAGCTAATAAAAGGTAAAGTATTAGAGATGTTGTCTACATTATTTTAAAAAACAGAACCAAAATAAAACAGAGGCTGGCACTACCCCTTCAGGTCACTTTCTACCTCCATGTGTTGGGTGAATTTGGCTCAGGAGTTGTACTCCAGGGGCAGGCACATGTCTGAACAGGCACATAGGCCAGGATATTCCCCTTGCCTCCCTCCATGGTAACTCTACTCAGAGAGACTCAGACTGCCCAGCCAGTGGCAATGAGAGCACATTTTTTATGACACCATGATATTAACCAATATGAGCGGGCATAGGGGTTTCTATCATAATATATAATCACTCAATCATAATATCTAATCACTTGAGGCTTTATAGAGTGTTTTCACATCTACTATCTGGTACCAGAATGTTAGCTCCATGAGGGCAAAGGTTTTTGTTTTGTTCACCACTGTATCCTCAATGCCTAGAACTGAACTTTGTACATAGTGGTGCTCAATAAATATTACTGAATGAATGACCACATTTAATTACTATTAATATTGATATTTAATTATCAAAACAATCCTGCGATATAGGCAGGACGTGAAATGTTGTCCCCATGTTAGAAGTTAGAAAACAGACATGGGGAGATTAAGGAACATGTCAAATAGTTGATAATTTGGTTGATGACAGAATCATCATTTAATTTCAGGTTTTGTACTTTACTTCCCTTATTTTTCCCTCTTCATAGATGAGGAGATAAGGTTTAAAGTTCTTACAGCTCTGAAACACCAGGTGAACGTATTCCCAAATACATAATAGGTACTATAAGATATCCAATGTCATCTGAGGTGCTAGGTTATAGGATGAATGAGGCCTACCCAGCTGCCAAGCATCAATAAGCACAGTTCCCTCAGAGGAGATTCAGGGTTCCTCTGGGTAATCAAATCTAGTTGACCCTAGGCTACCTTATACTTAGGTTTCTCTCCATGTCCCTCACTTGTCTCTACTCCCCATCCTAGCCTTTCTACCTCTCCAAGCAAAAGAAGGCTAAGAAAACCCTGATATTGTAAAAACATGTTCTGTTTTTTTCCATAGGGAAAAAAAGGAAAGAAAAAATAAAGAAATTTGGTAGATAGTTTTGGTGCTTTTCAAGAGCCATTGGCACCAAATGGAATCCCATGGGGAGGCTAGAAACATAATGTTTTAGGAAAAGTTAATCTTAGTCTCTTTCCTCTTAATATTAATTAAAATTAGTCATTTGAAGCATAAACCACAACTCAAATACCTGAGAACCCCAAGGTTCAATCAATACTAGTATTTACACACCTGGAATTATATATGTCTTCTGTAAGATTCCTAGTCAAACTCTAAGAACCAGCAAACAAAATACTGAGAACAGTATTTTGGAGAGACTTTCTAAGATACACACAAACCACTCAGAAAAATCAAACTTTTAGGTTGCCTTCCCCGCTTCTCCTTCTGCAAGGTCTAATATTCACTTTATCCCAAGAGCAATTTGGTCTAGGAGCGTTGGACCATCATAGTCAGTTAAATCGTCTAGGTAACTACCCTGAGATTGTTACACGTAGGACTCACCAGAAATTCATTGGCAAACTCCTCTTTGTTACTTTTCTTGTTTTGGGCCTCATCCAGGAACTTCTGCAGAATTTCTCTTTGGTCCATGCTGCAGGGCAAGAGAGACAGTCTATGAGTGGGTTAAGGGAGGGCATGTCAAATGTGTGTCATGGCCGAGACACCACTGAGAAGCAACTGCTGCCGCCTGAACAGAGCATGTTGAAGGCTGTGGTTTACTGACTTCATCACAAGCCCTAGAGGAAATTAGTACGTAACCAGCCTCTGTGGTCACACAACAAAGCCATCAACTGACTCCAGGGCCCTAGTGCCTTCCTTCTTAAGGAAGGAGCCTGGTTACAATTCAAGTTTTTAACAAACAAGAGGCTAACCAGAACATAACATGTGGTCTGCTTAGCTCTGAGACTGCTCCCCTCTCCCAATGTCAAGTGTCACCTCTTTTCTTGCTTCCTAGAGAAAAGGAAGTAATTACAGGTCTCATTTGTGAGTGCTGCCTCTCCCCGTTTCCCCAGTGAGCACAAAGGCCCCGTTGACACCTTCTGTTTCGTCATGTCCCAAATAAACTGCAAAGTTCAGTTAGCCCCAGAAAGGGAGACAGACACTGTTTGGAGTAAGACATCTTCTACCTCTACTGTTCTCTCAAAAGTTTCTTGTCAGTGTGAGCAGTGGCAAACTTCTGTTCATCAAAGAAGGCATTTTTATTCAGAACTTTTAAGTTTGCCACATAGACCTCAAACTCTCTTTCGGATGAAACAATGTCAGCTGCTTCTGACAGTCCTTGTCTCCCTCAGTGCTGAGGAAGTGCTGACCTCCATTAAGGGAAGTATTGTTAATTTCAGGACCTCCCCGACCCTCCAGGACTTTTTGAGCTTCAGTTGGGTTCTGGATATAAAGACTGAGAGTATTGGTCTATATGGGTTCCAGGAGCACAGTGGCCTCCCTGTGAGGAGAACCTGATCAGGAAGTTGGCACAATGTCCCCTTATGTAATGCTAGTAAAAAATGAAGGAACGGAAAAAGAGTAAAATCAACCACCTTGCTGGCAACAGTATAACTTTCAGGGCAGAAATCCTGGAGAACTATTTCTTGAGACATTTCTACTTTGCAACCAATGCCTTGGAAAAGGCCATTGTTTCAGGAAGCCACGCTGTACCTGTGGCATTTTGGCCCTGTCTGACAAGCAGGCTGTTCTAGAAAAAGCTCCCAAGTCTCAGCTTGCATAAATTCTCTCCTCAGTGGGCACAAACTCCCCGAACGTGTCTCACTGAGAGTGAGAACAAACAAAAATCAGCATGTCATCTCTGTGTGAGGACAGAAGTTCAATAAATAATATGTTAATAAAATTAGTCTGAAATATCCTGAAGAAAGCTGGGAAATGTGGTGTTAGAACTTCCTCTATTTAAAATATTAGCAATCCTTTCTGTTTTGCAACATTATTCAAACTCCCTTTAGGAAATCATGATTCTGAACGCTATTAGGCTGCATCCACCTTATTGAGCCTTATAACAGGAAAGGAAAGGTCATTAACGTATCTCGCTTATAGGCAATGTGAAGCCAATAAAGAATTTCAATCCCAATCCACATAATAAATTAAAACGAACCATAATTCTTCAATAATGTTTGTTGAGAGTAGGATAGTATTTCTCAAATTATCCCCATCTGGCTTTAAAGGATAATTTCTTGTTGCTTTAAATAATGCAATATTTAATTTGGCTATTTTAAAACATATAAAATATGGGAAAATTTTTAAAAGCACAAAATTTCAGGTTCTCAATAACTAAAACCATGTAAAAATATTTACATAGTTAAATGAAGACTAAAAGATGCAAAAAAAATCGATGGTGTATGTGCTGGGATTAAGGATGCTTTTTAAAGTTCTTCTTTTAAAATTATTATACCATTTTTTAAATTAGAAAAAAACACAAGAATCCATTAATTTGTTTGACAAATTTAGTAGTACCCACTAAATGCTAAGCACTATGTTAGGGACTGGGTAAACAATAGTGAACAAGACAGAATACGGTGAAAAACACCCTTAACCAGTTAAGAAAGCATCTCAGGACTAAAGATATAGACATATTTACTGATAAAAATAAAAACATTCCAAACTAACTTACTTATTTGCAGAGTTGCAATCCATCACCCTAAAAGAAAAATAATTTTCTCTATTTGGACAAATAAGAGAGAAACCATTTCATAATCTCTCTGTCCCCTTAGAATGTCTTCACTTCCATCAAAGCTAGAACTTTACTAATTAATACACAAAACGACACCTAATAAAATAAGATTTAGATCTATTTTTCTCAAGCCCATATTTCAGAACAGTCTCTAACTTTATTCTCTTCTTAGGGAGGGATAAGATAGAGATAGACATGAGATAAGAAAGAAAAACTTGCTTAGATGCCTCCGTAGTCCATTTACCCAAAATGTGAGGATCTGAAAATAGTATCTCAGCAGAACTGCAGATCTTTTTTAAAAGCAAGCAGCAATTCTTAGGAGTCTGTTCTACTCTAAAACTAAAAGATATAGAAACATCGTGAAACAACCAAACCTCAAAAACCCAATTAGCTAAAAGGCCATTTCCTGAGCAGACCACTCAAGCAAGCAAAAAACAAACTAAAGGAGAAAACAAGAAGCTTCAGTTTTATTTTTAACAAATCTAAGCTACTACTTAATTTTTCGCACTTCCTTCTACAGATAGTGGAGGGCAATAGAAGCATAATGGTTTTTGATGAAGATTCTGTTGACTCATTTGTATCTTGTGGGAGGATCAAGAGCTGGGGAGGGGAACAAGTCATGCAGCAAAGATTGGCATTACCTAAGAATTTAAGAATTCACAATGAAACATTTAAACCAGTCTGGCATGAACCCTGAGTGAACACAACAATTCCATGCAGTAAAAGACTCATAAACACTTTATCAGAACCATCAAGGGTAAGTTCTTGTGGAAAGTAAAACTGAATAAGCACCTGAAGAGGAGTAGGAAGGAACATCTTACTGCTGCCTCACGTGGCTCTGGTCTTTGCTCAGAAGGAAAATGATAATAGAGAGGAGAGCCGATCACACTGTCACCTGCCCCAACAAGAGGGGAGTGTGCCAGTTTAAGGGGAAACATCAGTGTCATGGAGGTCTGGAATTAAACGACGAAAAACTTTAACCAAAGAGAATGTCAGGGGAAATTATTAGGACAAGATAAACTAGTCAATAGGAAAGACCCTCAGGTTTCTCAGAACACCCTTTTCTCTCTGTGAGGAGGCATGTTTTACCCTGAGGAAGCCACTTACCAATCTTTGCTTTGGTTTCACTGTTCCTACCTTTCCCTCCATCCCAGGGTCATTAATTTGATATGGGCTATATGTGTTATCTCTGAAACACTCAGTCCTCTGTAGGCATCCACTTGGCCACCAAGGCCTATTGGTCTTTTTTCCTCAATGTCTTTTAGAATCAACCTGTCTTTTCCATTCCCATGTTAACCATTCCCATTTTCACATCTGTATTCCTGCAGCAATAAACTCAGTTATCTTCCTATCTATATATCTTCTATTCTAGTAATCTCCTGGTAACCAAGGCTGGATGAAAGTTCTTAAAACTCCTCTTTAATGCTAAGGAACCAAAGTTCTTACTGATAATCTACAGGAACAAGTCCAGATTCCTCAGCTTGTCACCAAGCCCTTCCCATCAAGTGTCCTCACCCAGCCTATCCAACCACATCACCCATAGACAACCTTGTTCATTCTATTGCCACTTGTTTTTTCTCAGCTTTCCCCCTAATTTTCACCAAGATGAAAATAAAGCCATAAAGCCTAGTTACTCTTTTCTTCAAAAAATCCTGCCCCTAACACCATCTCACCATGACCTTCTCTTAGTCTGAATCCTTTCGGTATCAATCTTTATATTCAGCTATAGAAGTTTTCTTGGTTTCTTCACATGTTCCTTGTCTCCTATAAATTTATTTAAAGTGGGAATTTATTCAAAAGAAAACACATAAAATGCCTCCTGTAGTTTTAAGTTTATCAAAGGCGATGATAGTGTCTTCTATGCATTTGTATAACCCACAGTGCTTAACATGGTCTTGAGCATATGTAAAACAAGTCTACTGTGATAAAATACGCTTTATAATGTGGTTAGGCTTTGGTGAGAGATCCACTCTGACTTGGTACTCACTGCATCAATTACTCCAGGTCTCTTGCCTGCACAGTCTATGTTTGTCTCTGGCTAGGCACTTTCCCTATGCCAGGAGCAGATGGGCCTTCCCTACGGGAAGGTTCGGGGACCTGGCAAAGAGCACTTCTTTGAATGCTGCTGCCCAAGCAGCAGGGCTATTGTTATGAAAGGAATGGTGCTGCTACTGAGGCACAGAGTCCAGGCCCGAAGAGCTGCAGTGACCAGAAAAAAATGACCTCCTTTATCTCCAGAATAGACCTGTTTCTCCTTTTATAAATGGACACAAAAGAGGCTTATGAAACACCTCTAGTGAAGCTTGTTTGCTTTGCTCATGTTTTCACATCATCCACAGCAGGAAAGTCCCCTACCCTCTTCCAGTCTGCTGCTTGTCACTATGGCATTCTGAGACCTCCTCAAGCTCTTCGGTTCACTTGCTGTGAACTTCATAGTCAGCTTTCCACATACCACACAGAGAATCATACTCTGCCTTTGGCCTCAGAAACACAATCCTCAAGAGGCAAAGTTCAGCTGATAATTTTCAGTTGATGCAATTTACCTTTTTTTTTTTAATGGAGAGTCAAGACTCCTCGTGAGGCTTGGCATCTTGTTCAAAATATAATCAAACTTGAAGTCCCATCTTTTGTTTGACTGTTCATTCAGTATTGAGTCGTTCATTTAATGAATATTTATGAGTCCATATACATGTAAGAGAATGGGAAAGAGGGGTGCTACAGAAGTGTACAAGAAATTGTCTTCATACAAGGATCCTTTATTCTAGTAGGAAAGATAAGTACACGAATAACTATAAGGCCATTTGTGATAAAGACCATAAACGTGATGCAAACCAAATTTTGAGAAGGCAGAGATCACTTTTGATTTGGGTTATCTGGATAGCCTTCATGGAGGAAGTACCATTTGAATTGGTTTTTGAAGCTGTCTATAGAGCATGAGAGAAAGCAATATGAAACATAGGAAACAGTAGGAGGAAGGTAGCTTAGTGAGTGGCTCAGTTTGACTGGAGCATTGGCTACGTAGAGGAGAGTCTTGATTGATAAGGCTAGAAAGGAGGGTTAGGGCCAGACCCTGGGGGAATTTGAACACCAAGCTGAAAAGTCAGACTTCATTTGATGAGCAATGAAAAACTGCTGAAGGTTTTTTATTGTTTTTTGGGGGTTTTTTTTAAACAACTTTATTGAGGTAATATTGACATACAGTAAACTGTGTACTGTTTGATAAGTTTTGGCATGTGTGTACACCTATGCAACCATCACCACAATCAAGATAATGAACATATCCAGTCACCTTCAAAAGTTCTACTGAAAGATTTTAAGAAATGGCAATCAAAGCAATGCTTTGGGAAAATTTTTCTTGATTTTTAAAATAATAAATGCCCCCTTCTGATAAGTTTTTTGAAAGTCTCATAATCTCCTTCAGTGGTATGTAAAATTTCAAAATAAATTATACCCTATCTAAAAATTATCAAAACAATGGGCAAAGAAACCATAGCTTTGTTCAATATGGTGGCAGTATATAGGACAGACTGGAATGGGGTAAGCATGGAATAGGACAATCAACTGAAAGCCTAACTGAGAGTCTTTACCAATAGTCCAGGCAGATGGTAATAAACTCTCATAGAAAGAATCAGGACAAAAAGGAAGGAATAAGTGAGAAAGACTAATTAGGTGAGTAGGACTGGGGGGAGGGAGAATGGAAAAATGAGTGAGATTTTGAGCTAGTTGGATGGCAATCTGGGAAAGTATGAGGATAAGAAAGATGTATACGAATAAAGGATTAGAGTTTGTGGACATGAATTTGGGAAGAAGGGACATAAGTCAGACTTAGGAATCACCCACATCAAGGCGAAAGGTAAAGCCATAAGATTGGCTTGCTTTTGTGAGAGACAGAGTTAATGGAGAGAAAAATGTCAAGCTAGAACTTCATGAAGTCCAAATCACTGGGGCTCCAAATTGTTAATGGTGCAGTCCTTGAAATATTTGCAGGCACTGGGCTAAGCCCTTTACAAGGTGTATTGTTTCATTTATCCCTCATAACAATCTTGAGAATTAATTACCAAATTATCTCTATTTTAAGATGTAGAAACTAAGGCACAAAGGAATTGGATTACCTACCCTATGTCACATGATTAGTCTATGGTGAAACTAAATTGTGAAAATCAGACAATCTGAATGTATGCTCAAATCTCTGAGCTACAGTATCTTCTTCCTGCAGCCCAATCACTGCAGCTCTCCTAGGACAGGGTGGCCTAGCAACAAGCACAACCCTAGGCAGGAGCTGCTTTACTCACGTGCTTGGTCTAATCTCCAGGGGCATCATATCCTCAGTCTCAAGATACTGCAGTATACTTGGAGCTAGATTCACATTCTGATGTTTTGTGGGTAATATAGGATGAAACAGGGAGCTGGTATGGCTAAGAGGGAAAAGAAAAGAGAAAGAGGAGGCTGCTCGCCTCTGACATTTATCATTCGATATATTTTTTCAGCTTTATTGAGATATAATTGATATGTAATATTGTGTAAGTTTAAGTTGTACAATGTAATGATTTGATACATGTATGTGTTGTGAAATGATTACCACAATAAGGTTAGTTAACATATCTATCACCACAACTAGTTAAATAATTTTTGTATGTATGGTGAGAACCTCAAAAATCTAGTCTCGTAGCAACTTTCAAATATACAATAAAGTATTGTTAACTATAGTCGCCATAACATACATTACATCCCCAGGACTTTTTTGTCTTACAACTGGAAGTTTGTACCCTTTGACCACAGTCACCTATTTCCCCCACCCCCACCCCCTGCCCCTGACAACCACCACACTGTTCACTGTTTCTATATCATTCAATTTGGATTGCACTTAATGAGAATTAGTTCAAAGGAATAGACAGAAGAATTTTATTTCATGAACAGAACATTATAAATGTCAGTCAAAGTGAAAATAGTGATTTTGCCTAACAGGTCAAATACCACAAAACTCACCGTATGTTGAGTTTACAGTAACATAAAACACAGAGGAATACATCAAGTGTCTTAAGTTGTAGCAAAAAAAGCTAATTTTGCTAATTTCTACTAAAGAGAAATATGCAATCTCATTTCTGTATTATTAACCTACTATGATTTATCCAAGAATAGAGGAAACAGCATAACTTGAAAAAGTCAAAATACATTTGCAGCACTACATCTTTATTTCTACGCATTTAGGGGAATCAGATGGCTGGCTGGCTGAAGGGAGGGGATGTGGTTAGCTTTGTTAAACTTTAGCCAAAGCCACTAATGCCTCTCTTCAAAAATAGATACAGCAATGCTTTTCTTCTTGACAATCAGGTAAGTAGTTTGGTTTGGGGGCTTATGGATGAAAGAGTCTCTACTTGATGATTGCCTCCTAATGCATGAGATTACTAAGGACTATTATGAGATACGCAGACTATAGAACCATATGCTTCACTTTCAATCACTTGTGGTAGGGCCAAGGAAATGTATATCTTCTATTGACCACTCAGGAGTCACAGCACTCTTTGATTTGCCAAAGGTCCTAGAGAAAGTGTGGACTATACAAGAACTAACATTCTCAGACTAAATTCTGAAAAAACAGTTATTCTATCTACAATTGTGTTTGGCAGGAATGATCAGGATTGCAACAGAGTTTAAATTATTTAAGGAGAAATGTTCATTTAGCTTTAGAGCAAGAGTTTGCAAACTTTTTCTGTAAAGGTCCAGATAGTAAATATCTTCAGCTTTATGGCCGTATGGTGTCTGCTGTAACTACTCAACTCTGCTGTTGCAGTGCTGAAACAGACATAGACAATATGCAAACAAATAAGTGTAGCTGCATTCCAATAAAACTTTATCACACCAAAAAAGCAGCAGGCCGGATTTGATCTGTGGGTTGTAATTTTCCAACCCGTGCTCTAAAGTGATAGTTCTCAAACTCTGTATACGTACATCAGAATCACCTGTGGAACTGGTTAGAAAGATTTGATCCTGGGCCCCAGGTCACCCCTACAGAATCAGAATCTCTGGGAATGGAGACTGGAAATCAGCAATTTATAATGTCCACAAGTGGTATGCGAACCACACTTTGAAAAACGCTGTGGTATGCAGCTCACTTCATCTAAGCTGGGATGGGCTCTACTGTTGTCTATGTGGGTCAGCACTTCCTGCATCCTGTGGCAGTAAAAATGCAGTAACTGTTTGATTTTTCTTTGGCCCTTCTGGTAGAAGAGCACATGAACAAACTGCTATTTTTTGCTTCCAACTTGAAAATGCATAAAATAATTCTGCTCAGGTGAAATTAACATGAAATTCAGGTTTTGAATTTAAAAGAAAATCCTCAACTTAAAATAAGATTTTCCAACCAAAAATCTCCCTGAAATCCTTTAGACCACAAAGTTAGCAGACGAGATCTTTACCAAAGGACGAGGCTAAATCTGAAGGAATAGTTTACTGTATGCTCCCTTTTCTCCAAAATATCTCCAGTAAAGGCCTGCCCAGTTGCCTGGAATTCCACTACTAACAAGTCATTATTTTGTGTCTGGACGTCTTTGCTTCAACAGAACCTCATTAAAACTCACATAAAAACAGAAAGTATAAAATCTCAATAGACCTCTGGGAGCTGCTCCCAACTTTAACAATGAGTAGAAAATAAATTATTCAGCTAAGTTTAGTTCTGTCCAAAAGAAAGTGGTTTTTGATTTGGTTGTTCTGTCTGTTTTAACTGCCAGAAATCAATCACCCGATCAGTCAAAGAGGAAGCAGTGTTCAGGCTGGTAAACAGTTCCACCTCTCCTTCAGCTCTCCAGATTTTCCTAGGAAGGAAAATGAATATCCTACAGTCAAAACGATGGTCTTCAGGAACTTCCTAAAGAAATGAGGAACGATCTGCAGATATGTCCAAGGAATACAGCTCTTACTAAGGCTTCTGCTGATCCTAGAAATGGAGGGGCATGCTCTATAAGAGCAGATGGTCTAATGATTACTAAGACATGGGCTTAGAATGCCTCCTATAGTTATCACTACAGCAGATGACACTAATTGTTTTCTGTTAGATAATAGTAAGATGATTCTGAATTTCCTCAAAACACAACCAAAGATGTTAGGGAAAGAAGACCCAGAAATTTACCAGAGAACAGAGTGAAGCCAGGCTGAGATGAGATCTCCATCACCAATATACTTTATAAATGATTATGTGTAGGAAGTGGAAACTAGTTTTACGGAGTTAGCAGTCAACATTTTAGGCAGCATGACTCTGGAGTCCAACACCCACAGGCTGAGCTTCTGACTGCTACCTTTTTCCATGGCAAAAAAAAAAAAAAATCCTGCCACTTTCAGCAAAGTAGGGAGGCCTGTTTTCCTACTTAGTTTCCAACTTACAGAAAGAATCATGAAGTGAAGTCCCAGGTGTTAGTACAAAAACAATGCAAATGGCCAGTAAAGCCAGGGGCCCCAACATACTTACCCAACCTCCCTGGCCCTGGATGAACTCCCGGACGGCGCTGTTCCCATTGATCATATTTGTCATGGGGATAGCCACCTGTCTTGCCATTTCAGGGGCCACGTGGGCCACATATTCCAGAAGTTTCACTGATACTGCCAGAAAGGCTCTCTCATAAGCTAAACTAGAATCCTGAGCACACCAGGTTTGGCTGAGAGATTTTACTGTGTCCTGAAGTATGGCTCCTGCCTGGGGAGAGACACAGGATATATCAGTGGAGTATCACTAAAAAAGTGCAGGAGGCTGCAGGTGCAGGAATCCAATAAAGCAAGTGTTCCCCAAAGAGTGGCAAATGTGCCACTTGTTGTTTCTGAGGTAATCTTAGGGAGTAGTTGGATAAACTTCTCTCATTTTATTATTTTGTTCTTGATTGTAATGGGTATTAGAAAGAAACATAAGTAGCCCATCAAATCCATGATTTCAGATATTATTGCTTAGGATGAACAAAGTGATTGGAAGAAAAACAAAATGATTTGAAACAAAAATATTAAGTACATGATAGTACAGCTGGTCAAGTTGTGAAGGTATTGTTTGAATGACTGAAGTCTGGGGAACTCTAAATTTAAAAAAAAAAAAAAGAGATTAGCTTTTCCTCTTCCTCTTTCCCTCCTGAAAAAATTTGGTTCAAAGGTATTATGTGGGACCAAGCAAGATCTTCTGAGGCGTAGTGTAGAGTGTCCATGGTGGTCAGAGCAGAGTGTCACAGCCCAAATAAGCTGAGAAGGGCATCCACATGAGGGTATCTAGATCTTGGTTTCCAAATATTGTTCTCCATTAAAAGAAACCAGAGCTTCCTGGAGAATGGGTGATTTCAGGCTGGTGCTTGGAAAATACAAGACAATCTGTCAGAAATTGAGGAAGTACTCGGAAAATTAGAGGAATATGCCAAAAAGACACAGCCCAGATTGAAAGGACTCCCACTGGCCAAAGCTGGGACAATTTGAGAACCCAAATAAATAATGAAAGTAATGGATTATAACCCATTGAATAAAGTAGGAATTCATGAGTCCATGTTTATATAAAAAAATGAATAGATTGAAATTTTGATGAGATATGGGATATTTACATGGTTTCAAGGTACCTCCCCACAAAACACTTAATTAAAAAAGGAAAAAATTAACTTTACAGTGGAGAAGACTTGCAGATACCATCTTAAGTGATTAAAGTTAACACCAGTAATGGGACAAATTGAAATCTATGCCCCTTGATAGGATGCAATGAGAAGAACACAGCAACACTTCTGTGTATTGCAACCAAAGGTACATATCCTGAGTCTATTCAAGAGTAGATATTAAACAAACCAAGTTAAGGAACATTCTTCAAAATAACTGGCTCATAATCTTTAAGTGTCAAGGTCATGAAAATCAAGGAAAGACTGAGGAACTATTCCAAATTGAAGGAGACTAAAGTGACATGACAACTAAATGCAATATCTGATTCTGGCCTAGATCTTTTTGCTATAAGTGACATCACTGAAACAATTGGAAAAACTTTTGAATAGGATCTGAGGATGAGATGATAATGTATCAGTGTTAATTTCTTGGTTTTGATGGGTAGATTGTAGTTTATGTGTGTGTGTGTGTGTGTGAGGAAGATTGGCCCTGAGCTAACATCCATTGCCAATCTTCCTCTTTTTGCTTGAAGAAGACGGTCACTGAGCTAACACCTGTGCCAGCTTTCTTCTACATTTTACGTGGGATGCCGCCACAGCGTGGCTTGACAAGCAGTCCTGGGTCCACACCCAGGATCCAAACCTGCGAAGCCCAGGCCACCTAAATGGAGCATGCAAACTTAACCACTATACCACTGGGCCAGCCCCAAGATTGTAGTTATATAAGAGAATGTCCTTCTTTAAAGGAAATATAAAAGTATTATGGGGTGATGGAACATCATGTTGGCTACTTACTATTAAATGATTCAAAAGGGAAATTCTTTGTATAATATACATGCAACTTCTCTATGAGTTTCAGGCTGTTTCAAAAAAATTGCTTTAATTAAAAAAAAGGTAGATTCAGCCATCAGCTACTTAGGAAATCTTCAGTGCAAACAATTAGGGGTAATAAGTCTAGCTCTGCCTGAATAGGCACACCACCCAAGCTGTACTCATTAGAAAGAATAAAGCATACTGGTCAAGAGTGTTGTTCTAGAATTAGTCTGGGTTCACATCGTAATTTCAGCACTTTCTGAATAACCTAATTATCTGTTCCCCTATTCCTCAGTTTCTTTATCTGCTTAAATGGATATCAAGTCAGAAAATACTTACTGAGCACCTATTGTATATCAGGTACTATTCTAGCTTTTGTGAATATAACAACGAACAAAAGAGGTTAGATGTTGCTCTCACAGTGTTATATGCAGATGAGGAGAGATTGTGCTATGGATAATAGTTTCTGTAATACTTCATTAGGAGGTGTAAGGATTCAATGAGATAATAAGTGTAAATCACTTAGAATACTATCTGGTACATGGTAAGTGATGAGTTAATATTAGCTGTCATTGTTGATACTAATCAGCAACATCTAGAACATTGTCTATGGTCTTTATATGCAATACAAAGTTGAAGTTCTACTGCCAGTAATCAGCATTCTGATGAAAACCCTAGTGGGCTGCTTTAAGTACTTACCCTTCATTGCATCGGACTTGTCAACTGCCTATCCTTCTTGTATAGTTTCATTGCTGGACCTTGGGAGTGGGGGGCAAAGATGCCCATTTCCGGCAAAATAAATATTAAAACAGGAGCATAAAAGAATAAAGTGCTTTTCCACAGATAAATTGCTATAGATGTGCTGTATGCCACTAAGCACAGCTCTGATGAAAAACAAATGGAAAAAATCTGAAGGTTGATCAGCCTGTGCCAAAAGCTTTCCATCTCAATACCACTTCAGCTTTTATTAACTCCTAAAGAACTGACAATTGGAGAATTCCTGCTGTATCTCCTTGGATGAATGTAAGCCCCCCAATCTTTCACAGAACATTTCTAGTCACAGTTGTAAATAGTAAGAAAAGCGTGCCTGAAGTAGGAAAAAAGCAGCAAACAATAGAAAGAAGTAGTAAAAACCTGACCTGTCCCCGAATGGTTTCTGCAATGACATTTTTGGCAGAAGCTTCCAATTCTCCATTGAACTCATCACCCAACATCCGCAGGCGGCCAGCAATGATGGCCACGTCAAAAGAGCACTCCTCTCCTAAGACAGAGGGAACACATTCACATTTGTCACAAGGCTTGAAGGGATGGCAAGTCCCAGGAATTGGGGCATTGGAGAAAGTTCTCTAGACCTTTAAGCAATTTTGGCATCATTCTCACTCAAGAACATCTTCAATGTTCTGTCAACACCATTAGTCAGAAAATCTCCCTTCACTGAGAATCTCCTTCCCTTCCATGAAGACTTCAGGTATTGGTGAAAGCTTAGAGTTTGCCTTTTGAAGCTTAAGAGGAAATAAGAAAGTTTACTCAGATTCTTTCATTGGCCTGCAATCACCACCTCAGGCCAGGAGCCTTACCTGAATCTGGTACGTCTACACCACGTAGCTCCCGGTTAGCAACCTGTAACGTGGTGCCTAAGAAGTCTGCGAGTAGAGAATTCACAATGCATTCCGTTTGCTCCTCAAAAGTTTGAGGGCTCTTCATTTTAGATGTTTGCTGCTGAGTTTTGCTTTTTCACAAAACAAGTCTTTTTAGCTGAGCAGGAAGTCAGAAACTGGTAAACCAGCAGGTGTGTCTAATTCTGGTAAAGTTTCCTAATGGGACATGTAGTCCTAGAGCCTGTCTCACCACTTTTCTTCAACAACAGCTGCTCCAAAAGGTAGGACGTCTCTGAAGATCCTACCCACACAAAACTGGAGAGATTTCTTGAAGATTTTCAGTTCCTTATCCCAGAACTATACTCTAGCCAGTGCCTAAGATTAATGAGTAACTTTTATAGTTAGATAGCCAATCTAGAACTGAAATAGAGTTGAGGAAGAGCCTCTTGTGTAATTTCTTTAAGAAATACTTCCTGTTAGGTTTTGTGTATGGTGTAATTTAAAGAAGGAAGGTTTTGAAATTATAATAGACGAGCATTCAACTCCTGATTATGGCATTTATTTGCCATAATCTTACATTGATTATTTACTGAGTACTTATGTGTAAGGAACTATACTTGGTGCCACAAATAATACAGAAAAACAACAAAAATGACACAGACACAGTTCTTATCTTCATGGAGCTTACACTTCAGTGTGAATGACAGATATTACATGATTAATCACATAATTTCTTGTGCTTATTGAGATACAGTGTGTGATTACAACGTGTAACAGGGAAACAAACGTAGGGGTTTAGAAAGTCTTCCTTGAAGCAGTAACATCTGAAACGAGCTCTGAAGGACTCCATTAGGAATCCATTAGGCAAAGAGGAGGAATAAGACCATTCCAGATGGAAGGAATGGGATATATAAAAGCTGAGAAAGTGAAAAAAAAACCTTGGGCATTTGACGAATTATAAACTTGGGATAATACAAAGTATTTTACATGGAAATTATGATGATTAAATAAGATAATGTTATGTGGAATGACACAGCACCATCTGACATGCAATAAACGTTAAATGTCTTCCTTTTAATCAAAGACCTAATGACCAGGATGAAAGTATCGGACACTGGATGTTAATAGATGAAGGGGGATCTGCTTAGTGTGACTGGCCTTGTCTGAACTTATTTGCAGAAAGTCAAATCAATCACGATGAGGTGGAAGACCAAGACCCGATATGCCCCAGGTAACTCTGGAGACTCATAGGCTGTAATTTCAATGGTGACATGTGGAGACTGCATTTCAAGGGAAAAACAGAATGTGCTGAATATACCTATTTCATCCATTCTCCAATCATCATGTATCCATTTTAACAATGTTGTCTATCCTCACTGTGGCATGTGCAGAAGTTCCTTTTATTGATCACTCAATATCAGTAATCTGCAATCAGTTGAACTTGGTGAATTAATCAATCATAGGGATTCCCTGAATTCCCCTGTTCTCTCCTTTTGTTAAAACCAGAGACGCGTATTTGCCTCTGCATCTTTTATGTTACCACACTGCTGATAAACTCTAGCAAAAAAGTAACTGGAAAAAAATTCACATCACATCACAATATTGAGAGAAAGAAGCTTTGAAGACACAAGATCTCTAGGTGTTAATGATGCTTTAAAGCTTGTATTTACTTGGTAAGTGAATGTAGCATCAACAATATTTGTGCAAAAGTGTTGAAGCCACTTTTATGATTCTCCACATGTGCTGTGAGTCATGAATTCTATTCAACCATAGTTTATGCTCATAAGCTAGTTATATGCCTAATGCATTGAGCACCTTCTGTTCTCTCTCTCTCTCTCTCTGTCTCTCTCTCTTTCTGCCTCCTTTTCTCTCTCTCTCTACATCCCTCAAGGCAGCCACACTCTGCCCCTGAAATAAAGAGGATAGTTTTTCTCTCATTAATGGGTCTGTGCCTTTGCTGTGGCTACACATCTATGCCTTCTATCAAAACCAGCTAGGATGCTGCAGTGTCTATCCTTCTGGCTGTAATCTTCAATCCTCGCTACCACACCAGGCTCAGCAGGGAGCTGCTCGTGATGGTAGAACATAATGGCCCATGGGACTGATCGGATGAGTGCTGTTTGACTTCTTCAGTTCTTCTTGGCCTGTCTGACTCTTTGACTCCTAGTGTCTTTACAGGAGAGCTGCCATCTTCTCATGTGAAGAAATGGAAGTGTGTTCTGCTCTGGATGTAGCCAGTGAGTACACCCTTGTCAATATGATAAAGCTCCAACTAGGCCACCAGATAGACCTCATATTTTTGTATCCCTCACCTCTGCCTGCCTGTGCTGAGATTTGCCATCCCTGTGTGCAAGACCTATAGACATATTGGTTTGAATCAGGCTCTAGGATTTAGTTTTAAGCACAGACATCAGATGGGTTTGGGAGCCACCCTCTCTTCCTCATCCCAGGCTATGCCTATTACTTCTGGCTCCAAGTTAGCACACTGGACTCAAGCCAAGTGTGACAAACTCACACTCTCCTCTGCAGCACAAGCACAAAGGTGTCTGTCTTTGTTCTGATTTCCATCAAATGTCTCTCCTCACCTGCAATGCTCTCATTTTCATACCTGAAAAATATCCCTTGAATTTCTATACCTTTCCAGAGATACGGGCAGCCTGATCTACATCTTTGGATTTGTTGTTTCCTGATTTCACTTCTCTCATCCCCGGGTCTGTCTCCTCTAAATTGGCTATCTCAGCTAAGCACTCATCTGAGTACCAGGACATAAACACCTCTACTGTTACCTTGCTTTTCTGTTTCCATGAAGCAAGGCTGAACCCTGGCTTTCCCCCACCCCACGAATGGCCACTGTTTCTGTGTAGCATCTAAGATTCATTTTGATTTGAGGGTTAGTGGATTCCATACATCAGTCTAGTCTCAGCATATAAATTCCGCTAAACCATCAACAACCAGCTGATCTGATGAGAGAAAGCTGAATATTCAAGTAATCCATTTAGAATGCAGGTAGGCTAGTTCCCCAAAATCTGTAGGGAAAAGATATGTTTAACTGTTTTCACAGACTCAGGAGAGAACACTGTGATAAGGCTCTACCAGATTAGGGAGATATTGCCCGATGGCTCAGGAAAGCAAACCAAGGCAGTTTCACACACACAACCTGAGAGTTTCTGGAATATTTCTCTTAGAGCATCCCGTTGTCCCACTGAGGATATTTATGTCCCTGTGCTAGTACTGAACACTGGATTATTAATGTACAAAGGGGACTGCTTAATGTGACCAGCCCTGTCTGGATTTATTTGTAGAAAAACATACTGATCTTGAGGAGGAAGAAGACCAAGTCCGCATATATGTTCCAGGTAACTCTGCAGAATCGTGGGTCTTCATTCAATGGTGGCATCTGGTGATCTCAGATCTAGGGAACTCAGAAAGGGCTGAATAGACCTATTTAGCAGACTCAGACACCCACGAAGTGTCCCTTCTACAATGGTGTCTGTTTTCACTGTGGTACGTGTACAGGCCCCTTTATTTATCCCTCTCCAATTAGTAACTGAAGTCAGTGATGCAGGTGAACTAATTACTCACTGGATTTTTCTCCTGTTCTCTCCTTTTTATAACAACCACATATGATGCTTATCTGCCTCTGCCAGTTTGGCATTACCATGTTGGCAGGTATTTCATGGCAAGGAAAGTGACTAGAAATAAAAATTCCTATTATGTCTTAGTTCTTGAAGAACCAGGCCTTAAAGAACACAGAATTTCTAGAGGTCTACAATGCTGCCAGAGCCTTTGTCCACTTGGCTGATATGTGTATATTTACACAAAATTTATGCAGAAGTGTTGAAGCCACCTTTATGGTTTTCTGAGTGCACTGTGTGTCCTGACTGTTCTGTTTAGGGGAGTTCAGTCTTCTTCCACGGGAGCTCACTTTCTGGTCAGTGCTCTGAGCACCTCCTGCTCGCTCTCTCTCCCTCTTTCTCCTTTCCCATTGCAACCACACTCTAGCCCCAGATAAAGGAGGATTGTTTTATCTCGTTTGATGGGCATTCCCATTTGTTTTCTGTGACCAGACCTCCCATCAAAACCAGCTCCAGGATTCTGTGTTTCCTAATCCCTTCTGTTTAATCATCAGTCCTCCTGACCCCACAAGGCTCAGCAGGGAGCTGCCAGCGATAGAAAGAATGAAGTCCCACAGGACTCACTGGATGAATGTTATTTGACTCGTTCAATTGGCCATGACCTGTCAGCCTACTGTAGGCTGTACAGAAGGGGCTCATTATTATTTGATGAACAGGAAGTCTTCTCAGCTCTGGATATACACAGTGAGTGCTCCTACTGTAAAGGGCAGAAAGTTCCTAGTGGGTCCCTGGTGGCCTCTATATTCTTTGTCTCCAACAACCTGTATAGGCTAAAAGATGTAAACAGGCTCTGTAGACTGTCTTGGTTCGAATTACGCTCTTGGATTTAATTTTAAAAAGGCATCATGTGGGTCAGACAACTTTCTTTTCTTCTTGTCCCAGGCTACCCTCTTATCACCTGGTCCCTGTTACAAGTGTAGGCTGTTGGTATCAAGGCAGGCTAGAGAGGGGAAATGGAGGGATAATGGCAACATGTCGGCCACTGCTATCTCACCTGGAGAACAGTCCTGTGTAACAGGCCTCTTTTTTTCAAGATAAGACTTCTCATACTCATGAAATGGTGTTGCTACTTGTATTTCTTGAGTAGTTTCTTGCAGACTCTCTAGTTTTCCTCACAAGTTTACAGTCTGCTCCATATGTTCAGCATCTGTTATGTTCTTCCCAAGCTCAAGTTTTTTCCCCTGGGTGCCCACCTCCCTCTGAAGCATTTAGATACCACATCATGAACACCAAACCCTGCCTGTGCCCATGGTTTCAATGAAGCCAAATCTCTGGCTCTGCTTTTCCATCCTCCACAAATGGCCACGATTTTCATCCTCTGTGCAGCACCAGTGACTTCTTCTATGTGTGGGTTATAGTTTCAGTCATATACCTAGTCTCAGTGGTATAATCTCATGCAAACTATCAACGACCTGTGTACCTAGTGGGGGTGTTGCCCTAATTTATGAGCAAGGCACAGCAGTTCCCCTCTCCATAATGTCCAGAAAAGTCATTTCTGATGAGTGAGAGCCCATTAGGGCAGCAGTTTCATAGGGTGTGCAGTTTAAAACTCAATTGTCGCTTCTTCCACTGAGGCTATTCTTTGGACTTCTCTTCTGGGAGAAGCAGTTGTAATGTTAGGAGACTTTATTCATCAAATCATCTTGTAGGAAGATCAAGATACTCTGTGATGTTCCTTGGTATATCTGACTATTTTATAGTGAAATTGGCCATGAACAATTTTGTCCCTCAACCTTTCTGGGTCAGTAAGTGCCTTTTCACGCTGGAACCATCCTCTTTCCAGTTTCCCATTTGTCCCTAAGGTGCAAAGAAACAGAGGCTTTCTCAGGATCCCAGCAATCCTCAAACCAGAAATGAAACGCAGTTCTTTTGCACCTGTTGTCTGCCATGCCTGTACCAAGTGAGCTCTGTGTTGCTATAACCCTTTCAGTCCTCACAAAGACACTCTCAAGTAGGTACGGTTCTCAGAGCCGAGAGTGCTGAGGCTCCGCGACATCACTTCACCTGCCCAGGATACCTGGCCAGTGCACAGTGGGACATGGGCCCCTCATCGGCCTGACTCCCAGCTCAAGTTCTGTTCACTGCTCCCTGTACTCTGACTCTTAGAGACTCAGCAGGGGCAGTGCTCACCCTTTCTTCTTTGCTTTGTACCAAATTAACTGAAACAATTTTAAACTTAAACAAATAAGACTAGTCCAAAGAACTCCTGTGGCCCCTTGCACAGATCCATCAACTCTAGTCTCTAGTCTAGTCTCGTTGTGTGAGCAGAACCTCGGCTCATCCAGTTCCTCCAGGAGGAGCCACACCTCCTAAGGCTCTCTCTTTGTGGGAAATCAGTCAGGGGCTGGAGTCTGTGTCCCCACCATCCCCTGCTGCCAGGGGTCTTCTGCCCTCACTCAGAGTTGTCCTTGTAAAGCTGCCCAGCTGTGTCTCAGAGACACCGATGGCCAGGTCTAGGTTCCCATGAGGAGATGAGAAGTGCTCAGACACATGTCTCAGAAGTGAGATGTGTGTGATATGGCATGGCCTTACTCACCCATTATTCAAAATGGGCCAGGAGAGGCCAAATTTCCCCACACAAATGGGCTGAGATGAAGGAGTGGAACGTCTAAATTATACATGGACCATGCTGTGCATGGGTTTGCAGATGACAATGTGTGACAGCAGCAGCAGGGCCACAGGCAGTCTGCTCCACCCTGTCTTCTCTGTACAAGGAGAAACCCTGTAGAAACGGTGCAAACACAACCTAAATTATAACTTGATCTTTTATTAAGGGCTTTCCCCCACCTGCCAGACTAATAACATAGGATGACACTTCAGATGTTGATAAAATGTTTTCTCTTTTCTCCTGCAAATGCAAAGAACTTTCAAAGCATAGTTTTAATAAAAACCAATAGTTAGGAAAAGAGGGATAAAAAAACATGATGAAATTAAGCAGTGATAAAAACAATCTTAGATCTTGATTCAATTAACATTTGAGAATGGGGATACCTGGTTTTGACAATTCTTTCACCAACCAGATTTTTTAATTTAAGAGGATTACTCTTTAGCCCAATATGAATTATAATATCTTATTAAATGTCCTAAATTATGATGAATAATGAATAATAAACTGTGCCTCAAGGAAATATGGAGGGCACACTAGCCCGAGAGAAGAGCTGGTGGAAAAGACCTGGAGGCTAGAAGGGCATCTGGTGGAGGGCTGGGATCAGGGAGCGGCAGCCTGACTCTGGAGGATTGTATAACGGTGCCGTGGGAAGTGATGCTGGAGAAGAAAGAGAGGGGCCAGAGGAGAAAAGGACAGGAAAGGAAGGTGAGTGGAGAGTATGTGAAGCAGAGAGGGAGAGGTGGTTCTCACAGAGGAGTAGACCTCTGATCAAACAGGATTTCGGGGTAATAAGATGGGTGAGACATTTGATAGTATGGAGAGAACAGAGTCAGAGAAAGCACTTAGAAGGGTTGGGTAAATCAATGATAAGAGTCAGATATAGTATGTGATCTGGAAGACTAAATGGTAACAGAAACATGAAGACATTTTTAAGAAACAATTAGGGGCCGGCCCCGTGGCTGAGTGGTTAAGTTTGCATGCTCCGCTTCAGCGGCCGTGGTTTGGCAGTTCGGATCCTGGGCGCCGACATGGCACCACGCCTCAGGCCATGCTGGGGCAGTGTCCCACATAGCAGAGCAAGAAGCACCTATAGCTAGAATATGCAACTATGTACTGGGGGGCTTTGGGGAGAAGAAGGAAAAAAAAAGATTGGCAACAGATGTTAACTCAGGTGCCAATCTTAAAAAAAAAGAAAGAAAGAAACAATTAAACAAACCTTGGTGAGAATGAGGATGTGTAGAGGGGAGGGGAAGGGAGAGTCCAAACAGGGTGGAGCAGGCCCTGTGGGCCCCCACCCCGCCTGAGCCCAACCTGGATTGCCATGAGGCTCTTTGAAGTCTTTGGTTAGCCTACTTTCTGAGAATATGTCTTCATTTCACAGTAGTAATAAACATGTTTGATTAGCAAGCGCTGCCCAGACCTCACGGCTGGGAGTGTGATAAAAGGGTTGTGCACTGTATCACCTCCCTGAAGAACCACAAAGTTTGATTCTGCAGCACTTCTGGCCCCTAAGTTTCCAATAATAGACTTGGACCTCTACTACATTACTTATAGCTGCTATTACCCCCAAGTGGCAATAGAATATATATGTGTGGGTGAGTGGAAGGGCAGTAAAATGTTACAGACAACAGGAAGTAAGTCACAGTAAGATCATGAATAACAGTGGATCCTGTTGGCTGTGGTTTTATTTTCAGAGCTGAGTTTGATGCTTACCTTGGAATGAAGAATGCTCCCAAGCTGGAGGGTGATTGTCTTGAGGGCTCAGCTGCCAGCAAGCATAGATGTCAAGTCATTGGCCACATTAATTTCTTAAGTGACCTGAAACAGAGGATTATCAAAAGAAAATTCCAGCTCAGCAAGTGGAGACTAGCATGCAGATTCCCTGGCCTTCAAGCTTAGGGTCCAGAGGTACTCACATCTGGGGCTCTCAGATGCACTTATTCCTTCTTGCTCTCTGTCTAAGGTTATAGATCAGTCTCCCACTCTTTTCTTCGTTTGTTCATTCTAACAGCTGAGGCTACCTCTGCCTGGTCTCACCTCCGTTTTCCATGGGGGCTGCAATTCTTCCAGGCCCTTCCATCTCTATCTCCAGTTTGCACTCTGAACTCTGCTGTGTTCCCACTGCTACTGTCCTGATACTCTCTCTCAACTTTCCTCTTAGCCATGGGGAAGCCTGGCCCCATGATCCTCCTCAACACAAGAGCATTATTTAGCCACTGAACACACGGCACTTTGCCTGAAATCACGCACTCTCTTGGCTTCTTCGCCTTCCCTTCCCAGCTTCTCCGACTCCAGTGCCTCTTTCTACCGGGAGTATTGTCCTAATGAATCACTTGCACATGGATCCTCCTCCTGGGTCTTTTAGGGAAGCTGACCTAGGACAACCTTAACCTTTGTTTCTCCATGTGAATAAGAAGTGTTAACACTCAGGAGAAAATTACAAATTACAAAAACTGAGAACCTGGGTCACAGGTGGGAGTCCTGGACTGGTCTGCACTCAGTTTTCTCCTCAGCCCCAGATGTGCAGGCCTCTGCTAATCTACATGGGGCTTCCAGGACTCAGTGTCCCCACCTCAGGGCCTCACTGGAGCTGGCTTTAGGTGGAGGACAGTAGATGGCACCCTAAAGGGAAACTGATGCAGAGGCCATGTTTCCAAAATGTAAAGAGTGTGAGCTGCTTTGGCATTCAGGCATCTCCCCTGTTCACTCCATTACCACTTCTACATGTTCAGTGAAGAATCTGGAAAAGTGAACTGAGGTGAATCTGAGGTCAGAGCATATAGAAGAGCACTGTAGTGGAATAACTTTAGGCCAGCTTTGTGAAGACCCAAGGAGATACACAAGAATATAAGACAAGTCCAATTGAGAAGGACTGTGATTCATCTGAGGTTGTCAGCAGGAAGACCAAAATCTTTAGGGCCAGTGGGAAGGAAGCTCATGGCGGAAGAGACGTGGAGAAGAAAAAAGAATGATGTGAAACAGAGGAGGTCTAGTGAGTAGTTCAATATTATGCTGTCATAAAATAAACGCTGAGTGAGCTTTGAACTGACAGGAAGCCTTGGGCCAATACCTTGAAATTCTGATTTAAACATTCTGGGGTGGGGTTGGGTATCAGTACTTTTAAAAAGCATCCCCAGGATGCATCTAGAAATTAGAAGGACCATGGATCTAGTAGGATCAGTCACCTATAGAAGTGTCTCATGTGTGCTTACTTCACAGAAAAGCTGAATATCAGCCATGGATGGACTTAGCATTCCTCCTTCAACAAAACTCTTTGTACAGCCTGGAGAAAACAGAAAAGAAAAAAGAGAGATTGATGGGTTAGACATATGCTCTCTCTACTTGGATCAAAGTTTCTCACAATTTTTATAGGACAAGATACAGTAAGAAATAAATATTACATAGAAACCCAGTGTACAAAAAATAATACCTCCTCTTATTACAAGTAATGGAATTGAGGGCTTTCTTTTTCTGCTTTAAAATGAAACCTGCAGATCACTATTTACTAAACAGATTTCACAGCTCACAAATTGGTTCAGACTGCAGATTGAAAAAATTATTTTCTATCAAATTTTGTCCTTATGCAAAATCCCAATAGAGATTCTTAGGTCTCCTTCTCCTATGTTTATCCTTTCTTGTGCCCTTCTTTACCCTAGCGTACAATATGAAGAGACCCTTTCCTTAGGGGGAAGTTTGGGAAAAAAGTGATGAGAATCTAGTATGAGCAAAACTAATGCTCTCCCACTTTCACTTCAGAGTTTTGGGGTCACCTATTGAGACTCTTCCTGGAAATGCCCTGAGGTGTATCCTGGCCTGAAATCACCTTCAGAGAATGTCGGTGTCCATGGAATGAAAATAAGTGTGGCCATGGTTCCACTCTCTGCTCTCTTTTTGCTAATTCAATTTTGAGTTTCTCCCTTTTTGGGTCTTTCCTCAGCCCCTTTTGAGCAGGATTTCTCTCTAAAGCAATATTCCTGTCCAGCCAAGGTGACCCCACAGCCTCTACTTGCAATGTTGACATCTCCAGATTGGAGCCTCTCCTCTTCCTTCCCCTAAATGTATGGAAATGGCCTGGGTTCTAGCCCCAGGGTTGTCAATAACAGGTCACGTGGCTTTAGTTAGTCCTTAGCCCCTTGGCACCACAATTCCTCATCTGTAAATGGTAGAACTAGATTTGGATATATTCTGAGGTCCCTGTAGGCTCTCACATTCTATGACTCTTCCTATGGCCTGCCACTCCTCCTCAGAGGACTGGAACATAGAGTTAAAGAGGGTGGTTTCTCTGCCAAGGGTCCTCTCCTTCGGACGCAGTCTGTTTCTGAATGTGTCAATGGATGCTAAGTACATCCCTCCCTGGCAGATGTAAGAAAGCTATCACTTTGCTCCAGATGAAGCGGATTTAGAGTGAAGTGGCTGCTGAGGACAGGGTGGTGGGGATCTGGCTAAAGCTCTGCAGCAGCTTGAGCTCAGACGTCACCAGGCTCTTGGTGGGCGAGGACAGGGGTCCCTGGATCCTGCACCACAGGCTAAATGTAAGTTTAGGGAGGTTTTTCTTCTAATTTGTGGATCTCCCTTTCCCCTTCAGCCAGCCTGCAGCCTCCCACTTAAGCTCCTCCTCTGAATTGGAGCTCAGCTTGCTCCTGGCCTCTGTCACCATGTACCCATCCCTCCTGGCTCAGCTATCAGCAGGACCTGACAAACTCTCACATTGTTTTTTCCTCTTTCTGTCTCTCAGAAGCCAAGTACTTCTGGAAGTAAGAAAAGATACTGCTGATTTCAAAGAAACCGCCTCATTAAAAAGTAGCTTTTCCACTTGATGAAAGAATCTAGAACTGTGAAGGGATCCTTTGCAGAGAATCGACATCACAACCGCAAACAACTCTCCATGATTTTTACTCCAAAAGCCTGATTCAATGGGAGAAATCCCAGCCTTTCAGCCTCCAATTGTGATAAATCACGAAGAGAGCAATGCCTAGATCAACATGCAGTTCTGAAAAATCTTAACCCTTGCTCTTCTCAATTCCCATACTGTACATCACCAAAATCAGGAGCAACTGGAAAAAGACAACATGAGAAACTGGACGTTCTTTGCCACCAGCAGGGCTGTGCTAGGAGCAGACAGCACTAACTGTGCAGAGGTCTTGTTGAGAATGTTTAGTCTGAATTTAATCGTGAGGTCATTATCAGACAACGGCAGAATTTAGACCTCTGAACAAGTCAACTGGCCTGTCTTTCTTCAAACAGTCAATGTTACCACAAGTAAGACGACAAAAAGGAGAAGAGATATGTTGGGATCCAAAGGACTGAAAAGATTATGTTACTATGTTTCTTTAGTCCTTTTGAGCCGAAGACGTTCCTCACCTTTTTGTGATTGCCTGCGGTGGTGGTGACATTGCCTTGTTTGTAGAGGACAGGTCAGTCGTCTGGCTCAATGGTCTACATTCTCAAGTTGTCTGACCATTTCCTCATGATTAAATTCAGGCTCACACTTTTGCCGAGAACACTTCACAGTTAACCAGTTAACGCTGTGTGCTTCCTAGCGCAGCCCACCCGGAGACCAGAATGACCAGTTTATCCACCACCATTACTGTGAGAACATTGGTCACTTTGTTATGGAGGGGCCTAGGAGATCTGTCCATTGTAAAGACACATTTTTTTCTTTCTATAATCAGTAATTTGGGGAAAGGTACTTTGAGAGTGTGTGAATATCCTCTTCTCTAAAGATCTTTTTCTAAAACTTTTACCATCCATTCATGATCCCTGCTGTGTGTCGATTGTCATATTGGTGTTTGCACATTGGAGATCTTCCAATTTTATCATTCCTATATACATGTATTTGCTGGCCTTGTGCTGTGGAAAAGAACATTCCCTCCCCCTTCCATATCATTAAAATTTTTGTTTTGACTATCACTGTGGACTTTTGAATTTTTTACATTCAATACTATAATCTACTATAATTATGACTGATTTGGGTGGGTATGGATATAAATTAATATAAATAATTTTGTTTCTCCTATTCATATTTATATGCTAAAGGTTCCCATATCTTTTAGGCTCTATTTACCCTATGTAGTCGATTTTATTTGCTGTATTTCTTTCCCCATGTTATTTGTTTTCTTTGTGTGTGCATGTATATGTGTGTATGTCTGTGTTTTGTTTAGCATTTAGGAAGGATTGTATAGGTAGTGTTAAACATTGCACTAAATTTTTTTTTTTACATTTTTAGTCCCTTATTAACTTGTCAAATTTCTAATATTTGCTTTATAAGTTTTAAATCAATCTCTCAACTTCAAAAATTTGACATTTTTCTGTTTTTCTGGGAGGTTTGCACAGGAAGATTCGCCCTAAGTTAACATCTGTTGCCAATATTCCTCCTTTTTTCTTGTTTCCCCCCCCAAAGCCTCAATACATAGTTGTGTATAATTGCAAGTTCTTCTGGTTCTTCTTTGAGCCGCCACCATAGCATGGCTACTGACAGACAAGTGGTATGATTCCATGCCCGGAAACCGAACCCAGACCACCGAAGCAGAGAGTGCTGAACTTTAACCACTAGGCCATCAGGGCTGGCTCTGTTCTTTTCCATTTTTATCTGCCTCTTCTTATAGTATTATTTCAACATCGACAAATGTATAGCATTTATGTACTGTTTTTCCCATCTTGTCTACTCCTAGATTTTTGTTTTAGATCTACAATTAAATCTACTCAATGATGACCAGCTGTTCAAAAGTCAGAATTTCCTCAGTCATCTCTTGTTTGGTGGAGCCCAAACTTAAAAGATTCCTCAGGATGGAATCAGGACTCCCCAAGTGTTGTATATTTAATACTCTTGTTCTACTGCCTTGATACATGGACAGCTTGGCTGAATATAAAGTACTTGCCCACAATCCCTTTCATTGGGTTTTGAAAAAATATTGTCTTGCTTTATATGTTCTGTTGAGATGTAGAAGGTAAATTGATTTTCTCTCCATTATATATGAATTGGCTTTTTATGGGGTAGAGGAAGTCTAGAGCTTCTGAGGGGTTTTTTCCTTTTTCTTTAAAATCTACTAGTGCTAAGAGAAAGGTCTTAGAATTGACAATTCCAGTTCGATTTCTCCCAGGTATCTATGATTTTTCTCCCTGATCCTTTCTCATCACTTGTATTAATTTCTGTTCTGTTTGATGCTTTCATATCTTTATTATATGGCCCTTATATTTTTAGTCAAATATGTTGCCCTTATGAATCTTGTCATTTAGCATCTTTTTCAGATACTTTTCATTTCCTTCAACTTTTTCCTAAGTTTGACCAATTTTAATTTCTCATTTCCTGTTTCTTGTCCACTTCTCTTTTGAGTTGCATATTTCTTATGTGAAGTTCTGTTTTTTCATATGCACAAATGCTTTGTTAGGAACATTTAATTCAGATAGGGATGTCATTTTACAGTTTTCCTATGTTTTGTGATTGATTTGGTGGGTATCGTTTAGTGAGCTGAAATGTTTGACACTTTGTTTCTGTTTTTTTTCTTCTCTCACCTTGGAATACGTCTGCTATGTGATTTTCATGCTAACATGCCTAGGTTTACCTGAACGAGAAACAAAGATTCTGTGTACGAACGGATGAGTGCTTTGATAGGCTTGGTCGATTTCTTAAGTCTGGATCCCTCTTGTTGGTGCAATTCCTCTAATAGCTGTAAGGTTTGGGGATAGGAATGGTGTGTCTTCTAATTTGCATGTTCTATTTTCTTCCAGGAGGATCTTTAACTTCTACCAGTTGCTTCATTCTTTTCTTCACCACAAGCCTCCAAAGACACTACCTTCATCTGGTCTCCCCACCCTGTCCCAAGCAATTTTGCCTCCCTAAGAATGTCACCTCTGGTCTTCTGCACTGTAGAACCCCTTCATTTCGATTCCCCAGTAGCCAGAGCTGTGGTTGCAAGCCAGGCTTGCTCTGAGTTTATCACACTCTCTCTGGAGAATTTCCATGTGTTCCCTGCTAAGCAGGCCCTCCCTGCTGTCCTCTCCTCTTTGTGCATGGTCTTTGCTGATCCCTCTACTGCTGTGTGGCTCCCAGACCTGCCTCAGTACAAACCAGTGAGAGTCTCTGGCCCCTGGTGACTTAGGGGCAGGGTCATGAGTGGCGTGTTTGACATTATGTGAATCCCTAGCCCTTTGAAATATGTGTTGAGGGATTCAGCTTCTTATCCTAGGTGGGCCTTTACTCATTACCATTCTTTTTCAAATGCAGAATTTCAATAGTACACCAAAGTAGACAGCACCGTGTAACAAAACATCCCCATCTTCATCGACCAGCTTCAACAATTATCAACTTATCACTCAACTTGTTTAATACAGTGCTATCTACTTACCTTTTCCTATATTATTTAAAGCAAATCCTAGACATCCTATTTCATCTGTAATTATATCAGTATGCTTCCCTAAATGAGGACTCTTTTTGAAAGGACTATCATCATAACATTATGATCATTCATAAATTAATTTAAATCCTTAATATCATAAAATAGACAGTGTTCAAATTTCCCATTGTTGTTTTTCAGTTGGTTTCTTTGAATCAGGATCCAAATAAAATCTACAAACTGTGATCAGTAGGATGTCACTTTAAGTGTCCTGTAATATGTTTGTTCCTCCTCAGGTTCTTGCTTCCTTCCTTCCCTTCCTTCTTTCCCTCTCTCTCTCCTTCCCTCCCTCCCGCCTTCCTTCCTCTCTCTCTCTCTCTCTGGTTTTTGCTCTATTTTCTCTCTCTCTCTCTCTTTTTCTCTCTTGCTCTCATTCTCTGCTTTTTTGGCATGCATTTATTGAAGAAACTAAGTTGTTTGTTCTGCAGCATTCCCACATTCTGAATTTTATGCCAGGGTATACTTTAACACATTCTTCCGTCCTCCATACTTCCTCTCAGTGGGTGCTAGAATCTAGCAGTGCTGTCTTAATACAAAGAAAATGCAAGCCACAGATATAATTAAAATTTTCCAGTAGCCACATTGAAAACTAAAAAGTATAAGTACAGAACAATACAAAAATAATCTTACACATTGCTACTTAATGCTACACATTAAGGGAAATATAATTCTACCAAAGTTATAAAGTTATGTTTAATAGAAAAATATTTTACATTTCTTCTGTTTTTAAGTTACATTTAAATGAGTTATAAATTAAAAATAATTGAAATTCAGTTATATTCAACAGCCACATGTGTCTAGCAGCTATGGTATCGGACCTGGCAGATGTAGAGACTGACTTGACTCATGTTTGATTTGTTGGCAAGACTTCCTCAAAAATGGTGTGTGCTTTTCCATCAAGAGGCACATCGTCCTGTGTGTATCTTCTAATGATGTGAGCAGTCCTTTATGCTCAAGGCCCAGATCCATTGATTGATTATATGGAGTAAAATGGTGATCCATCATCACATATTATTATCTGGAACACCTATAGAAAGAGACACTTCCCCTAAATATTATTTAATTACTTAGTGGTACAGTTTCTAAAGAAAACTGCAGCTACATGAGCTCGTCCCCTAGCATCCTCTGCGGTCATCAATTAGTTCTTTTTCTTTTTTTCCTATATTAATATGAACTCAATGATCCAAACACATGGAAGTAGTTCAATCCATTGCAATATGGTCATTACTGATGCTTCAATTTATCCTCTCTTTCAGCAGTGAAGATGGTGACTTCAAGTTGTTCCTTACTCCTTTTAAGATTACTATTTGAGACCTTTTCTGGTATCAGTAAGACAAGGTGTTTCTGTCTCATCTTGAATATTTACTGCCCCTGACCTGGACTCAGCCATTTCTCTAAGAATCTCTGATTTCTTTTTGTGAGAAACAGTATTCCCAGATCAAAATGTGTATACTAGAGGTCCTCATTGCAACTGGCTTATTTCTAGGCCTTTCCTGTGGACAGAACTAGAAAATGCATATGCATATTCATATGCATTCACGTAATTACATATATACATAAACACTGCCAATGCAAATTCAGATCTACAGGGTTTTTATTGAATGTGTATCTTTCATCTGAATCTCCTTTCTCTAATACCAAGCACTGTTGTTTTTGAGGACGGGGGAGTAATAGAATTAGAATATCCCAAAATGTCTCATTTACTCTGTCGCACATTATATAAACAAAAGAATAAAGACAATAACAACAATACCACTAACAACCCAATTGAGGAAAATGGTTTTTTAATTTGTCGCTGCCTTGGTATATGAATAAATTATTGTGTCTTAAAGTCTCTAGGAATAGTTCTAATCCATATGGTTGTTCCACAACAGGGATACAACAGGTTCATTCATTACATTGTGTTTTCAATATCTAGAGGCAAAATTTTTTAACTTTAATTTAGTTTTATAATTATGCAAAAACAAATGTGGTTTGCAACTCAAATATAACCAAAAAAGTTACATTCAAATAGTCTAGCCTTGACACAAAGATCTGCAAGCATTTCCAAAGCCTGGGCCCAGGTGAATCAGGAACTCCTGCTCTCCACAGACGCTGGATTCTCTGGCTAGGATTGCTCTTTCTGCCTGAGTTTGGGAGGAAAGGATGAAATTTCCTGGAGTCAATTTCAAAGCTTAGCCTATCAGGGGTTTTAGTGTCTCATGGAGAATTAGCTAGAAATTAGGAATAAAATCTGAATAAGTTAGAATAGAATAAATGAAAATCTGAATAAAATAGGCCATTTAACAAAATACAGTACTTCTAATTCAGGTCTGGAACTTCTATCCCAAAACGAAGACACAGTCACAATGGCTGTCCCAGCCCCATCGCAGGCCCTCACACGTCCCTTTTACTCACAGAGAGACAGGAGGTCCGATGACAAGACTTGCCCTGCGAAGGCCCCTCGAGGTGCAGGATTGAATGGACACAGCCACTGCCTCTACTCCCGAGGCCCGAGGGTGACCCTGACGAGGGACTGGCACTACCCCTCTGGCGCCGGGCCCAGGCCTCGGATGGCCAGCGACCCGCAGAGCTGCACGAGGCCATCGGGGGCGCCCCAGGCTCTGTCACCTCCCTATGTCCCGGACTCCTGAGGAGAAGGTGGCAGAGGGCAGGGGACGCGGCTGCGAGATGCAAAGGGTGGAGGAAGCAAGAGTCACGCGGAGACCCGGGGCAGCGCGGGCCCGTGGAGCTTCCTTCCCAGGCCGGAACTTTTCTCTCCGACAGCGGGACGGGAGGGGACGCGGAGCGGAACACCACGTCCCGTCAACTCCGTCTGTGAGGCGCCACTTTGCGTTCCAGAGGAGAACCTCCCTTTGGGCTGTGGGGTAAGGGATGGCCGGGCCTGAAGCGAGCGTCCGGAGCCGGGGCGGGGGCTGGAGGCCGCGGCCAGAGCACACCCAGCGCCCACGGAGCCCCGGCGGGGCCGCGCGTTCTCCCGGAGGCGGCCCGGCCTCCTGAGCCCCGCCGCGAGGACGGGCTCCGACGGCCTCGCGGCCCGAGGGCGGCCCGTCCTCGACGGAGGGGTCGCCCCGCCTGCCCGCGCTCTGCCGGGCTCTCCAGGCCGCTCCGTGGGGGTGAGATCAAGTCCTTCTGGAGCGGCGGCAGGGAGGGGCTTTTAGGCCTCCCCCAAATCCACCTCCTCCGCCCGCAGTACTAGAGTTTCCTGCCCTGGGGCAAAATCCTGTCAGGAAAAAAAAAGTGTCCTTTTCCTTTCCTTTGCCGTTGTCCTCTTCGCACTGTCCCGGGAGCTCCGATGACCCTCAGAACAGGACTCGGACTTCCTGGGGTCGCCCCGCCCCGTCCAGGCCAACATAGGAACCGGCTTCCACAGGCTGAGGGCGGAAGGGATGCGCGTCTCTCTGGTCCGGACCCTTTGGGGTCCCGCTGGGGAGGCGGAGTGAGGTGGCCCCCGCTGAGTGGCTGAGCGTCCACAGCCAGTCCTCCAGCCTGGGCAGGACGGGCTGATCCAAGGCGACTCGGTGGCCAGGGTGACCCCAAACAGGCAACCTCGGGTTCCACGAGGCTAAATCTGACCCTCAAAATCTAGGGACCTTGAACACCGCGGGAGACCTTGTCCTTTGTAAGCCCTTTGAGTGGAAGGGCCAGGGCGCCTCCTGGTGGCCCCCGCAGGGACGGCGTAGTGGAATCCCCTCACCTATGACGCGACGAGGGCTGGTCCGAAGAAAATCGATATAAGCGCCCCATTTCGGTGCAGGAGAAGGTCCTCTTGGACAGAGGCGCTCACCTGGAGGTTTCCCCGCCTGTCCTCCTGGCGCTGTCGGGAGCCTCAGCGCCGCGCCCTCTTGGCCTCCACCCTGGGGGCGCTGCGCGCTCCGGGCACCAGGGGCCCGGGCGGAGTCTCGGCGCCTCTGACCGCAGAACCCTCCTCGTGCGGTGCTCCAAGCGCCGCCTCGCCGAAGGGAGAGCTCCCAGCCCAGAGAGTACAATCACCAGGAGTTGCAGACTTCTCTCCCGGACGCAGAGTCCTCTCGATTATCAATCGGGTTCCAACCGAAGCGGCCACGGCGCCTACACACCGCACCGTGAGCACAGCCGGCCACCCACGACCTGCGGTGGTGTGGTCCGGCGTCAGCAGGTGACAGCGTTTTCCTCCGCGCGTTTTCCTTAGTGGCTACATCTGCCTCTCTCTCTCTCTCCATGTCTCTGTCTCTGTCTCTCTAGTTTTCCCTCTCTTCTCACGAGGTTTCTCCACCCTCACCTTTTTTCTCCTCTTCAACTTTCTGGGTTCACCCCTCTCCGTGCCCACCGGCGCCCCCAGACTGAGGCCGCCCCGCGGTCCTGGGTGGGAGCTCACTGCGGTTCCAGGTGGTGCCCTCTAGATGTCGCCATGATCGGGACATTTGTAGGATTCGACTGCTAGTATAAAAGATTTAAACAAGGGCCACTTTTGAAATTCTTTCACATCCTCCCGTTCCTCTAGGGTTCCTCTAGGACTAAAAACTAATCGTCCTCGGTGAAATTGTTGGTCCCCCCAGCACCCTGGGGCGAATGCCTTTCTTAACTGAACATTTATTGGGCGCCTACTAGGTGCCAGGCCCTCCTCCAGGCGAGGGGCTGCGTGGTGAGCAAACTCCAGTCCCTGCCGGGTGGAGCCCCCTCTGGAGCCCCAGAGGGGGCAGGACGGTAGCGGAACAGCCGGTGACTGTCCTTCCCCTGCGAGTCCGCCCAGGACTGGGGGTGGAACTCAGGGAGCCCGCGACGGGTGAAGCGCAAGGAAGAATGGCAAATGGATGACTTCAGCCCAGAGGTGGAGCAGGCGGGGAAAGCCCTGGGCCCGGCGTGGGGCCATCAAGTGCTCACACACTCCTGTCACTAACCAAAGGTGCCCAATATCAAGACTCAGTATCTCCAGCGCCACAGGTTTTGCATGTGTTTTCAGCAGAGGATGGAGGGCTTGGGGAGCACGTTCTCACCCCATGGTAACGGCGTAAGATTTTGTGATACTTGGTCTCCGTGTTATAATCAGCGAGTACGGCTGTTAATTGAAAGGGTGGCGATTCAAGCCCACCGTGGGACCGCCTAGTCTTCACTTAAACTCATTTTCCGGCTTCTGATTCTCAAAATTCACCTAAGCCTCTCGATCTGCTTTCTCCTTTTAGGCAGCGACCCCACCTGTAGCTCTCAGTTCCTGCCCTCCCTTTCTTTTGCTCTGCGGGTGCAGGTTGGGCAGCTGCGCCATCTCAGTTGTCCCGAGTGTTCACGGAGTTTTGCCCTGCGCGGTGGCTTCTTCCCGTCCTTACCAGATGCCGCTGGTGTCTCTGCACCACCTGGAGCGCCATGGCCACCTTGACCTACCTGATTCGACATCTGGATTCCAGGGGAACTGCCAGGGTCAGAGGCTGAAGGCACAAGCATGGAAATCACCAACTGGTCAGACTCCAGGTTGGTGCACCTCAACACTCAGTGTTCACCACAAGCTTACCGGGAGGCCACCAACACTTTGTATTGACCGTGCTGCATCCTTACTTTTCTTGCTAATCAGTAGGCATCATTTTTTCAAAAAAAGTTTTAGGTTTAATGACAAATTGAGCAGATAGTACAGAGTTTTCAAATACAGCATTGTTCTTCTCACACAATTTCCCCCATTATCAGTATCTTGCATTAGTGTAGTACATTTGTTACAATTGAAAAATCAATATTAATACATTATTATTAGCCAAGGCCCATAGTTTACATTAGAGTTCATTCTTTGTGTCATACAGTTCTATGGGTTTTGATAAATGCATAATGTCATAAAGCTGCTATAAACATGCATCTGCAGATTTTTGTGTGACATAAGTTTTCATCTCATTGGGGTAAATACCTAGGACTGCGGTTGCTGGATCAAATGGAAGAGTATATTTAGTTTTGTAAAACCCTGCCAAACCATCTTTCAAAGTGGCTGTACCATTTTGTGCTCCCATCACTATTGAATGAGAGTCCTATTGATCCACAAACTTGCCAGTGTTTGGTGTTATCAGTGTTTTGGATTTTAGCCATTCTAATAGGTGTGCAGTGGTATCTCAGTGTTGTTGTAATTTGCAATTCCCTAATGACAAATGATTTCAAGCATCTCTCATAGGCTTATTTGCCATCTGTATATCTTTTTTGGTGAGGTGTTTGTTGAGATCTTTTGCTCATTTTTTAAAATTGGATTGTTTGCTTTGTTAAACATTATTTCAGAGTATTTCAAAATATGGGGATATTTTGCATGAAATTAGCATTTGAATCAGTGGACTCAGTAGAGTAGATTGCCTCCCACCATGTGCGTGGACAGCATCCAATTCTTTGAGGGCCAGAATAGAAGATGGAAAAATGCATCCTGTTTTCTTCCTACCTATCTGCTTGAGCTGGGTCATTGGTCTTATCCTGCCCTTGGACTGGGATTTATTCCATTGGCTTCCCTGGTTCTCAGGCCTTTGGACTCAGACTGGAATTACTCAACTGGCTTTCCTGGGTCTCCAGCTTGCAGATGGCCAATCATGGGGCTTCTTAGCTTTCATTATTGTGTGAGACACTTCCTCATAATAAATCTCCATTGGTTCTGTTTCTCTGGAGAGCCCTAATACAACATAATAAAATTCACTAATTGTAAATGTACAAATCAATGACTTTAGATTTATAGAGTTGTCCATCCCCAGAGTGCAGTTTTAGAACATTTTCTTCACCTCCCCAAATTCCTTCAAGCCTCTTTGCAGTCAATGCTCAATTCCTGGTCACCATGACTGAACCTGAGCAGAGGAAAAATTTGGAAAACAAACATGATTAAGCTTAAACTTTTATTAGATTGCAACTTTGTATAATGGATCATTTTCTTAATTTATTGACAGCTGGAGGAGAGACTGCATTCTAGGGACTTTGGAGGAACTTAAGATAGTGGCTGTTCTATTGCTCTCCTTGAATTGGTTCATTTATGCTGGTGACAGGTGATTGCTATAAAACCTTGTCTGGTAAGCTCAGAACAAGGAGCTAAAAAACATCTGCCATAGGAAATACAGACTGATGATGGATTTGCAGATAATGTTACATGGAGTTAAGTATTATACCATCTTTATTCTTCCAGAAGTACAGCTGATAACATTAAAGAGACATTTCTCTAGTGCCTGAAATGCCCTTCCTAGTGTCCTTCACATTACAAGGGCTTGGGAACCGTCACATGAAGGTGAGCACAAGATTTTTACTCTGGTTCTTTGATTTTTTTGCTTTATAGGGATTAGCATACATGTTTCTGGAAATTAAAAAGTCAGGAGAGTAGAGATAAGCATCTGAATTAGTTTTCTACTGCTGCATATTAACAGATTACAAAAATAGTGGTTTAAAACAACACACATTTGCTACCTCACATTTCTGTAGATCAGAAGTCTGCAACAATGTGGGTGGATTCTCTGCTCAGCTTCTCATGAGGTTGAAATCCAGGTATCAGCTGGCTGCATATCAGCTGGCTGCATTTTCATCGAACGCTCAGGCTCCTCTTCCACGCTTACCACAGTTATTGCCAGAATTCATTTGCCTGTGGTTATAGGACTGAGGTCCATGTTTCTTGTGTTGGCTGTCAGTCAGAGGCCATTCTCTGCTTCTAGAGGCTATTTGTATTTTTTCTCATGTGGCATTCTCCATTGTTAAATCAGTAACAGTGCATTGAGTCCTTCTTGTCCTTGACTCTCTCTGATTTTGTCTTCTCCTACTAGCCAGAGAAAGCTCTGGTATTTAAGGAGTCATATGATCAGATGTGGCCGACCCACATGATCGCCCCATTGTAAAGTCAGCTGTGCCTTAGAACAACACAATCAGAGGACAGTGACTCATCACGTCAACAAGTTCCAGGGATTTGGGTAAGATGTATTTGTAGACCATTTTAGAAATTCTGCTTGTCACATTCCATCCTCTAGTTCCCAGGGATACTTGTCTCTTCCAAATGCAAAATACATTCACCTACCCGCTAAGGTTCCCAAAGTTTCGTCCCATGACAGCATCAATTCAAAGTAAAACATATGTCAATCTCATCAGCTTGAAAGGCCAAAATCTCATCTAAAACATGTGTATCAGGTGTGGATGAGGCTCCTGTATGTGTCCATTAAGCACAGCTCCTGGGCTCAATTCCTCTCCATCTGTAGACCTGTGAAACTAAGAAAACAACTTATCTGCCTCCAGTGTGCCATCGTTGGACAGATGTAGGATAACAATTATTCAAATTCCAGTTCAGAAAGGGGGAAAACTGAAGATATAAAGAAGTCAGTGATCCTAAGTAATTTGGAAATCCAGCTGGGCAAACTCCAGCAGGAATTCTTTGATTTGCTTTCAAGGCCTGGGTATAATCCACTGTGACGTGTGGCTTTGCCTCTGGGCTGTGTGCTCCCATTTGTTTGCATCTTCATTTAATTCATTATTTTTTTTCTTCTCACACTCCTCGAGCTCTTCCTCTTCTTCCTCATAGCAGCATCCTCCCCTTAATTTATCGCTATGTCCTCCCCACCTAAACGGGTCTGATATTGACCTGTTCTGACTCTCACATATAACCACAGGCAAATGAATTCTGGCAATAACTGTGGTAAGCTTGGAAGAGGAGCCTGAGCGTTCGATGAAAATGCAGCCAGCTGATATGGTTCCGACTCTCTCCCGTGAAGGGCTGCCCTCGTATTCTCCTGCTCCTCTGGGATCCTCTTTATTAACCTGATTTCTATCAGTCATGATTTTATTCAGCTCACCTAGGCGGCTTAGGAGAAAGCCTAGAACTGTGGAGCCCCAGAACTGATCTCTCCCATCCCTTTATCCAAGAGGAGAATAAAATAACAGAGGTTTCATAAAGAAATGACCCATATGAGGCTGAGATCCCCCTAGCAAATAGAGCAGAGGAGAAAACCAAAGGACAATGGAGGCACTAAACGCCCAGACTATGGAAACAGGGTCCTCTTTGTGTCCCACATCAGGTAGGAACCCTTCTTGGAAAGGGAGACATTTCCAATGGAAGGGACACTTTGGACAGGGACTTGCTTTACTCCAGCTGAGTCATTCTTGTGGTCACTAGGGCTTTTGGGGTCTCCATGCTAGGCTGTTTGTTTAATGGTGGGACTTTTTCCTTGCATAAGAATCTCCTTGTAATTTTTGTCTGAAATGCAGATTCTTGGGCCCTATCCCCAGAAGTTGTTAAAAAGCACCACAATGACTCTGACGGAAGTGTTCTGTAGCTCTGCAGCTGGTACGGGATTAGAGCCCTGCCTGCTGCATGATAGCACTTTAATCATCCAACACTCTAGCAGTCAAGGCTGCCTTCTCTATTTTCCATTATACTTTCTTCTCTACTATAGATTACATGTTATATATTCTTCTCTATAATACTTGATAAGAATGTGCTCAAAAAGGATTATAGAATCATGCACTAAAGCACACTTGGTGTGTGCCGGTGCTGTATTCGAATCTCAGACTGCCTTTCCTAAGGCAAGAAACACACCCAAAATAGCATTTGGTTGAAAAGACAGTTTGGAAAAGAGAATGTTGTGTTCTCATCAAGATGGCACAGTTAGCAGTCGTTGAACTCGCCTCCTCCCATGAACACAACCAGGTTACAACAATTTTAGGAAGAATCACCCTGGATTGAAAACTGAAAACTGGATAAAAAGAACCCCCACGACATGGGACAGTCCTGATGAAAGCAGAAGAGGCAGTAACTCCTGCCAGAGAGGAAAAAAGCCACCTTTGGGAGCAGTGGAGCTTCTCAGCTGGCCAGGCGGGAGCCAACCTAAGGTACGCAGCCCTCCCTGGAGGAGTGAGGTCCAGAGCGGGGGCAATACTGCTATAACCAACCTTCAGACTCAGCCCAACTGAGATGGGGGTCTTACTATCTGGCTTTGCTGGCTATTAACTGCAGCGAGGACACCCCAGAAAAGCTATCAGCCGAAAGCCGAAAAGATCCGGGTCTTCAAGGGCCCACGCACAAACTCACTCATTGCAGCAACCTAAAATCACCAGAGAGAAGGCTGACTGTCCTTTGGTGAAACGAGACTCACCTGGTGGGCTCTGGGGGCATCTTGGTGAGAGGAGGATCCTCTCCTGAGACTGAGACATTGGTGGGGACCGTTGTTCTGAGCTGGTCCAGGCATGCTGATACGGACACCGGTGGGGGCCATTGAGGTGCGTCCCTTGGGCTGTTAGCCCAGGGGTCTGCCACACACACTAGAGCACAGATTTAATCCAGTTCAGCCAGGGCAGGCAACCCACCCTACTGACTGGCCCCACCTAACAGCAAGCCCTCAGGCTACTTTTCAGCCTGCATTGACTGAGTGCCTTGATCCTCTACAGGCAGGCAAGGGTGTCTGCCTCTGTGGGGCAGGGCTTGTGTGAGGACCAGGTGAACTGTGGGGGGCATTGGGGCAGAGGTGGGGGCCTCTGCAGTGTGGCATTGGGGTATGCTCCAGGGGGTTGAGAAGTGTGCACGGACCAGGACTGTGTTGACAGTGTATGTGGTCCAGAGCGGGGTGAGGCTTATCAGCAGCAGAAGACTTGTGCTTCACAAATAGCCATAAAAAGGATCAGCCCCACCTTCCAAAGCCTGAAACAACTAAGTGCCTCCATGCCAAGGGCTAGCCCCACTCAGCTGTACTCCTAAGAGAACTGACATCAGCCTTGGTGGCCTCAGGCCTATCACAACTGTACACCCCTGAGCCTAGCAACCAGCTACACTGGGTACCAACCCAATTAAGAGGACAATTGCAATAAGAGTGTACTAATAGACTTTGTAGCCAACAGTGCTGAGGCCCCTCCAAACCGGATTTTCAAACAGCTGGCCAGGGAAGGAAAGATCAGACTCCCTGGGTACCTGCAGTGGGAGCAACCCTGCCACAGCAGAAGAACACAAGTAGCCCACAAAGGGGTGACTCCTGGTTCTTATGGTCTGGTGACGAGAGGGAAGCACACTGCTGGACCTCATAAGGCATCTCATACATAAGGCCACTTCTCCAAGATCAGGAGACATAGCCGACTCACCTAGTACAAAGAAAATAGCACAGAGAAAGAGGCATAATGAGGAGCCAAAGGAATACTTTCCAAGCAAGGGAACACTACAAAACACCAGAAGAAGAACTAAGTGAAACAGAAACTAGCGACCTCCTTGACAAGGAATTCAAACAAAATATAATAAGGACGCTCACAGATATGCGGAGAAGAATGGATGAACACAGTGAGCACATCAGCAAAGAACTGGAAGATATAAAAAAGAACCAATCAGAAATGAAGAATACAATACTTGAAATGAGAAATTCACTAGAGGGACTCAATAGCAGAGTAGAGGAAGCAGAAGAACGGATCAGCAAGCTAGACGAAAGATTAGAGGAAATCACCCAAGCAGAACAGAAAAGAGAAAAAAGAATTAGACAGAATGAGAACAGTGTAAGGGAACTCTGGGACAATATCAAGTGTGCTAACATTCGGATTATAGGGGTCCCAGAAGGAGAAGAGAGAGATAAAGGGGCAGAAAATTTATTTGTCGAAATAATAGAGGAAAATTTTCCTCACCTGAGGAAGGAAACAGACATGCAAGTTCAGGAAGCACAGAGAGCTCCAATCAAGAGAAGCCCAAAGAGGCCCACACCAAGACATATTATAATCAAAATGTCTAAAATTAAAGACAGAGAGAGAATCCTAAAAGAGCAAAAGAAAGGCCACAAGTGACATATAAAGGGAAGCCCATCAGGCTGTCAGCAGACTTCTCAGCTGAGACCCTATAGGCAAGAAGAGAATGGCACGACATATTTGAAGTGCTAAAAGGAAAAAACCTACAACCAAGAATACTCTATCCATCAAGACTGTCATTCAGAATGGAAGGAGAGATAAAGAGCTTCCCAGACAAACAAAAATTAAAGGAGTTTATCACTAAGAAACCAGTTCTACGAGAAATGCTGAAGGGACTTATTTAAGTGGGAAAGTAATGACCACAAATAGAGATAAAGAAAAAAAATTATCAAAAAAACCCAAAACAACAACAAGAAAAAAACAAGCAATAAAATCACTTGTAAGGTAAAAGTATAGTAAAGGCAGCAGATCAACTACCTGTGAAGGTAATATGAAGGTTAAAAGACAAATGTACTAAAATGACCTATTTCAATGATAAGAGGGTAAGGGATAGACACACACTAAACAAAAGACTATATATGATGTGAAAAACATATAATGTGGGAGGAGGGGAGTGAAAAAGTAGAGCTTTTAGAAAGAGGTCAAGCTAAAGAGTCTATCTACTCAATATAGACTGTTATATGCATAGTATATTAGATAGGATCCTCATGGTAACCACAAACCAAAAACCTATAACAAGCAGGAAAAAAAGTAAGACAAAAGAAATCAAACATATTACTGAAGATAGCCATCAAACCACAAGTGAAGAGAGCAAGAGAAAAAGAAAGGAACTGAGAAGAACTACTAAAACACCCCAAAAAAAGAAAAAGTGACAAAATGGCAATAAATACATATTTATCAATAGCTACTTTAAATGTCAATGGATTAAATGCTCCAATCAAATGCCATAGGGTGGCCAACTGGATAAAAAAACAAGATCCATGTATATGCTGCATACAAGAGACACACTTCAGACCTACTGACACTCACAAACTGAAAGTGAAGGGATGGAAAAAGATATTCCACGCAAATGGCAAAGAAAAGAAAGTGGGGGTAGCAATACTTATATCAGACAAAATAGACTTTAAATCAAAAACTGTAATAAGAGACAAAGACAGGCACTACATAATGATAAAGGGAACAATCCAACAAGAAAATATAATACTTGTAAATATCTACGCACCCAACATAGGAGCACTAAATATATAAAGCAATTATTAACAGACGT